GACAAACTTTGAAAGCAGAATATAGGGTTAATGGAAAGATTCTTGGCAGTATGGAGGAGCAGAGGGACCTTGGGGTTCATGTTCACAGTTCCCTGAAAGCTGCCACCCAGGTGGATAGAGTTGTTAAGGAGGCGTATGGTGTGTTAGCTTTCATTTAATAGAGGGATTGAGTTCAAGAGCCGTGAAGTTATGCTCCAGCTATACAAAAGCCTGGTTCCGCCACATCTGGAGTATTGTCCCGTTCTGGTCGCCTCATTACAGAAAAGATGTGGAAGCGTTGGAAAAGGTGCAGAGGAGATTTACCAGGATGTTGCCTGGAATGGAGGGAAGGCCTTACAAGGAAAGGTTGAGAGCGCTAGGGCTTTTCTCTTTAGAACGATGAAGGATGAGAGGTGACTTGATAGAGGTATACAAAATGATCAGAGGTATAGATAGAGTGGACAGCCAGAGACTTTTTCCTCGGGTGGAGGTATCTATCACGAGTTTTAAAGTGAGTGGAGGTAGATATAGGGGAGTCGTCGGAGGTAGGCTCTTTACTCAGAATGGTAGGGGCGTGGAATGCATTGCCGGAGAAGGTAGTGGAGTCGGCCTCATTGGGGCATTTAAGCGGCTATTAGATAGGCATATGGATGATAGTATAAGGTAGGGGTGGAGGTTAGATAGACCTTAGGATTAGGGTAAAAGTTCGGCACAACATCGTGGGCCGAAGGGCCGGTACTGTACCGTACTATTCTATGTTCTGTACTGTTGTGTTCAATGTCCACCATGATATTCTGTTCCCTAGCCTCTAAACGCATCCACCTCCTTGAGCCTAAACTGTTGTGTTTGCAACCCTGTTTCTGCATTTGACCCCAAGATAAACTGTTTTAATAACCATAGCATTGCTAAAACTACCTATTTCTGGTTTCTTAGCAGTGTCTGACTTTGCATCTACCCACTCGCCTGAATGAGTGCAGCTCCAACAATGTTCAAGGAGTTTGACACCATTCAGGACAAAGCAATCCATTTGATTGGCACCAAATCTACAAACATTCACTACTGATACTCAGTGACAGAAGTACACGCCTCTACAAAATGCACTGCAGAAATTCATCAGTGTTCTTTACATGGCACCAACCACACTTCTGCCTACGACCCATTGAGATGAACAAATAGTGGATATTTGCATGGATATAGCATTATGGGTCTACCTACAGCAAATAGGCTGTAGATGTTCAAGAATACAGCTCAACACAAACTAGGAATGAGCCATAAATAGTGGCCCAGCCAGAAATAATGATATCCCCTGAAAGAATTGGAAAAAAACCTACAGCTGTGAATGGTGGTAGGCAGGGATAAACGCACTAAAGGAAACTTCTCCACAACTATGTCCATCCTCAATGATTGGGAGGCCAGCACATCAACTCAAAAGACAAGACTGAAGCATTAGCAAGCATCTTCAGCCAGAAGTGCCCAGTAGGTGATGAATCTTGACCTTCACTTGGGGACCCCAGTATTGCAAATGCTAGTCTACATCCAATTCAATTGACTCCATGTGATATCAAGAAGGTATTGAATAATGCATGGCTATTGCTTTTGACAACATTCTGATAACAGTATTGAAGACTTGTGCTGCAGAACTAGTCATGCCCTTAACCAAGCAGTCCCAGTACAGTTAGAACACTGGCATTTAACTGAGAATGTAGAAAGTTGCCTAAATATGCCCTGTGTGCAAAAAGCATCTCAGCCACAGGACAAAGAACAATACAGCACAGGAACAAGCCCTTCAGCCCTCCAAACCTGTGCCATCACATTTTTGCTCTTCCATACAAAAATGTTTGTCACTTGCAGGATCCGTATTCCCCTATTCACTTATTTGTCTAGCTGCTTGAATGTTGTTATTGTGTCTGCTTCCACCACCTCCTCTGGCAGTCTGTTCCAGGCACTCCCCACCCTTTCTGTGAAATTCTCTGCCTTGCACATCTCTTTTAACCACCCCCTTCCCCCCGCCATCCCACCCCAGTGATACCTTGAACCTGTGTTCCCTAGTAATTGATCCCTCCACCCTGGGAAAAAGCCTCATACTTTCCATTCTATCCATGCCATTCATAATCGTTTAAACTTCTATCTGGTTGCCCCTCAACTTCCTGTGTTCCAATGAAAACAAACCCAGTCTAGCCAACCTTTCTTCATAGCTAAAATCTCCTATACCTGGCACTATCCTGGCAAACCTTTTCTGTACCATGTCTGGTAGTGTGGTGACCAGAAGTGTATGCAATATTCGAAGTGTGGCCTAACTGAAGTTCTATACAGTTGCAGCATAACTTGCCTATCATAATACTCAATGCCCTTTCCAATGAAGGCAAGCATGCCATAGGACTTTTTACCACCTTATCTACCTGCACTGCCACCTTCAGTGATCTGTGGACCTGCACACCCAGATTCCTCTGCATATCAATGCTCCTAAGAGTTCTACCATTCACTGTACAATTTCCACCTGTACTTGACCTTACAAAATACACCACTTCACATCTGCCATTTTTCTGCCCATGTCTTGAACTGATCTATAACCTGCTGTATCCTCTGACAATCCTCCTCACTATCCGCAACTCCAGCAATCTTTGTATCATCCACAAACTTACTATTTAGACCAGCTATGGTTTCCTCCAAATCAATTATGTGGATCATGAACAGCAGAGGTCCCAGCACTGATCCCGGTGGAACACAACTAGTCACATCCGCGCCCCCCCCCCCATTCCAAAAACCATCCTTCCACTGTTACCCTCTGTCTCCTATGACTAAGCCAGTTCTATATCCATCTTGCCAACTCACCACTGATACCATGTGACTTCACCTTTTGTATCAGTCCAACATGACGGACCTTGTGACGATGCTGTCACTGTAAAAAGGTTATTTTGTCCTTGGTTTTTTTTTTGGAGAGCTTGTAAAGGCAAAGGTACTACAGAGGAACAGTTTAACAATAGAAGGGGAGCGGCCACTTCTCCCAGTTCAGTTTTTTTTTAACTGTAACAGTCACAAGATGTTTTGAGTACCAGATGTGTTGCCAGCTTCAGTAAAGGTTTCCTCTGACTTTCTCTGAAATCTCTCTCTGCATGTTGTTCCCTCCTGCCTGTAAGAATTTGTGTTTGAGTTTACCTTTGTGCCAAGGGTTATGTTAATGGGATGTTACTATATTGGAACAGTTAATTAGTTAAGTTGCTGTATTGAGTGGGTTAGCTTTTCCAGTAGCTAAGTTACTCTAAATTCCACTTTCTTTTGTTCATGTTTCAGTTGTAGTGTTTAAATAAATTTTTGTTTTGCTTAAAGCTGAGTGCTTTGACCAGTTGCATCACACCTGGAACACCCACTTCAGAGCTGCCTTAAAATAAGAAAAAGTTAGGTTCTAGGCTACCTTCTTAAAATGTTTAGAGGGGTTCTGGCCTGATCCATAACAGGCTTTACTGAAGTCTTTGTAGACAGCATCAACGGCTTTTCCCTCATCAATCATTTTTGTCTCCTCCTCAAAAAACGCGATCCAGTTAGTGAGGCATGACCTCTCCCGCACGGAACAATGCTATCTATAATTAATAAGTTCATTTGCTTCTAAACGTGTATTGATCTTTTCCCCAAGATAAACTGTTCTAATAACCATGGCATCACTAAAACCACCTTCTTCCAGTTCCTTAGTATCATCTGACTTCACTGGAGGAGTTTCTCAGGGTTGTGGCCTAGGTCAAACAATGTACAGCTACTTTGACAATGACCTTCCCTCTAATTTAAGATCAGATGTGGGGATGTTTACTGTGCACTCTAAGTGACAATTAACAATGAAACCACTTCAGTGCCAGGCAGTGGCCATCTCCGAGAAGAGAAAATCTGATATTCAGTGGCATTGCTGTTGCTGAATCCTGAGCTATCAACATTTTTGTTATTAGCATTGACCAGAACCAGCCGTATAAATACTGTGTACACAAGAGCAGGTTGGGAATTTTGCAGTGAGTAACTCACTTTCTATCTCCCTAAATCCTGTCCACTATCTACAAAGCACAAATCAGGACTGGGTACAATACTTTCCATTTGCCTGGATGAGTGTAGCTACAGTAACACACTCAAGAAGATTGTCACTATCCAGCAGCATTGATTGGCACCATGTCTAACATTTCCAATATTCACTCCTTTCATCACTGATGCATAGTGCAACACCCCATGCAACATAGCCTCCAAACTACAAAGCATCCCGACTTGGAAATATGTCGCTGTTCCTTCACTGTCACTTCCAACACCATGGAAATTGTTTCCTCCGAGTTGTGAGTATACTTAGCCACTTGGAATGCATCAGTTCAAGAGGAAGGCCATCTCTGTCTAAGGACAATCAGGGATGAACAGCAAATGCTTAGCCTGTGGCACCCACATCCTGTGAATTTTAAGAAGTTGCCTTAGATACACACTTTATAATTGAACACTTAAGAATGAACTAAAAAACTGAACTGAGCACATTGACAATTGTCCAATGTTTAAGCAAAAACAGCACCCATGGAAAAATGATAAAGTTAATGTTTTAGGAATAACATCACCATTATGACAAAGTAGTCTACATGAAACACTAATTACTTTATTTCTCCACAGATGCTGCCTGACCTGCTGAGTGCTTTCAGTGTTCTGTACGTTTGTTTTAGATTTCTAGCATCTGCAGCATTTTTGTTTTAGTCAGCCAACATTGACAGCTCTGAGAAAAGGTTCTGGTTAATTTGCTCCTTAACTGTCCTACTTTCTGAAAACTGACAGTTAAAACACTGCTGATGTGGACAGGTTAAAAAAAAGTTCCTCCGAGCAGTCCTGACTTACAGCGCTACATATAGGACTGGGTTGTGCTTGTGGGTTAAACCGTAATGTCATATTTGTGTTATAATTTGCTTCCCCACACAACTACATCATGCCTCATCCCTATAATCATGCCTTATTTGATAGATTAAAGCAAATTGTATCTAAATATTTTTCTTTCGTGGACCCGTTTGATATAGATATACAAGCATTGGAGGCAATGCTTCCCTTTGTGGAAGAGCCTAGAACCAGAGGATATGACCCGAGTAAGGGGTCACTCGATTAGGACAGCAATGAGGAGGAATTTCTTTACTCAGAGGCTAGTAAATCTGTGGAATTCTTTACTAAGCAGCTGCGCCAGCCCTCTGCAAAAGGTATGTTCAAGACTGAGATGGACAGGTATTTAATGTAAAGGAATCAAAGGTTATGGGGATAAGGCAGGAGCTAAGGATTATCAGATCAACTGTGATCTCATTGAGTGACGTAACAGACTCAATAGGCTTAATGCCCTACATCTACTTCTGTGTAATGTAGTCTTATGTTCTTTGCTGAGCATCATAAGGCTCCACAGGCTGTGTGTAAACAAATCCAGGCAAAGCATTGAATCTGGGGAGCTTTGAACAAAGAAAAGATTAAATATATCCATTATAAGCATTTTATACATCTTAATGAATTTTCTCAACATGGCTGAAGACTTTTTCTCAATCGTTTATAAGTTACTTCCTTTGAAATATATTTCCACATCAGAAGGGTGGCATGGTGGCTCAGTGGTTAGCACTGCAACCTCAAAGTGCTAGGGACCCAGGTTCAATTCCAGCCTGGGTGACTATGGAATTTGCACATTTTCCCTGCGTCTGTGCGGGTTTCCTCCCAGTTCCTCCCACAGTCCAAAGATGTGCAGGCTAGGTGGATTGGCCATGCTAAATTCCCCAAGATGTCCAGGGCTATGTTGGCTAGGTGGAGTAGCCATGTGAAATGCAAGGTTACAAGGTGGGAGTGGGATGCGGAATGCTCTTGGAGGGTTGGTGTGTACTCGATGGGTCACTGTATGGATTCTGTGATCTATGAATGTGTGAATTCTAGACCATCAATGGAAATGTTGGACTGGTCTCAATACATAATACTGGACCCATATTAGGACTCCTAGCCCACCCATGTTGTCAGTGCACCTAGCCGCAACCTTCCAAGACATGATCTCCTAATTGTCCATCTCCATGCTCACCTTCATGTTAAGAATGAAGCAGAGGCCAGGCGGCCTGCAGTGATAGGCTTTCCGTCCCACCAGGGGAAATGAATGTTCTTGAGATTGGCAGATGCGCACAAACGTGCCACAATACATAGCTACTGACTGTTTCCAGTGTTTTTTTTTAAACACATTCCCTCAGATTTACAGCATCTGGAGATTTTTGCTTTTGAACATTAGTATTTTGTGTATAATTAGTTATAACTATAATTAATTTCTAACCTGTTGTTAAACACACAGTAAATTCATATTCTATGCATTTGGGCTGCGATTATGTGGCAACACCTACTAGCTTGGAGTTTTGTAGATAAAGGTTAGAAAATTGGGCTTCAACCACATAGCACATCATGTCACCAGTTCGGTAGAGCAGTGTTTTCAATTATTAAGCTGAGATACCAGCAAGCGAGCCCACATTTCTATATAAGTGCACTTTATGAAATTAAGAATGTGATTTAGTTTAGTTCAAGGTAAGAGTTCTGCCGCCAGCATATACCTTGCCTCATGAAATGAATGATTGAACCGATAAACAGATTTGGAATTCTTAAACCCAGTCCTTAAGACAAATTTGCTAATGTTGCAGATGGCGCCAAAGATTTCTTTTAGCTTTAAGAATTCATTTACTCCTGATTTGAGCATCTTGTATAATTTATTTTAACCTCTGTGTATTTCTGCCTCTTAGCTAAAGTCTTCGGTTCACCAAGGCAATACTTTCCTGTGATATCACTAAGAAAGATCCTTTGGAGAAAAGAAAACTATAAAGCTTGTATGATTCTATGACTATGGCTCTATAACTCGACATCTGGAATGTTCCTATTCCAGGTTTTCTGGTTTTTTAGAGTTTTATCCCTTTGTTGGGACCATGGAGATTATATTGACTGTTCTCATACTGCTGTAAGAATTGAATCTGTTCATGAAGATGTATAATAATCAGGTGTTTGGTTACGGGTTGGGAGTTTCATTATCTATTAATCCCTGATTATAGATCATGCCAATCTGATTTGGATGTGTCGGAGAGCTGATTTATAGACCAACATTTGGACAGCTCTTCTTATAAACCATCAAGATGATGACAGCGTTATCAATCAATCTGTTGTTTGTATAGAAAGCCAGTGACTGATGTGAGATCTGTTGGATAAACCTTCTTATCAGCAGAAGGAAGAGATCAGTGGGAGGAAGTGGGGAACCATTAAGACATGTTAAACTTCCCAACAGTCTGGGGCGGTTTGGATGGAACTCATGTAACCAATGGGTACCATACGTCTGCCAAAGTGCTGTCCTATCCTTTCAGTTCTGAGTATAGCAGAGCTGAGAAACTGGCTGTCGTTGGTCAGCTCAGATCCCTCTAGTGATGCAATTTTCACTTGTCATTTAACCCCTCTCCCCTGCACCCCTCCAGTCTTTTTCTTTCTCCACCCACTCCTGGCTGCCTTCCTACATCAAGATTTTGAATGACTCATTACTGCAGGAGGTGGTTTCCTCAGTTGCAGTTGCTGTTACTGTACACGTACAATGCTTGTAATTTCCCTTTTGAGAGCTTCTGGTTTGTCCAATATTGTGACTCAACGTCAACTAAATTTTCCATAAGTTCCTATTCACAAGTAGCCTATTCAAATGAAGAACCAACCAATACTGTTCCCTGGCCAACATCTCTGTCTCTGGCTTGCTGCAGTGTTCCAGTGAAGCCCAATGCAAGCTGGAGGAACAACACCTCATTTTCCGCTTGGGGACCCTACGGCCCTCCAGATTCAATATTAAGTTCAATAATTTTGGGGCCTGAACGCTCTCATGTCCCAGCCCCCCACCCCACACACACCAAGCCTTGTTATCACATAGCCTGCCATTGTACCCCCTGTTGTTAGTCACTAACAGTCCCCATTAACAACTATTCACCCTCCCAGCCTGATCATTAGCAACTCCTTTGTCCAACTGTCTTTCTCTCTCTTTGGGCTCTATCCTATCGTTTACTCCCTACCCCACCCACTTCCCTATTTTCTGCATATAAACTGACATTTTCTCAGCCACCATCAGCTCTGAGGAAGAGTCACCGGACCCGAAACATTAACTCTGTATTTTCCTTCACAAATGCTGCCAGATCTGCTGAGCTTTTCCAGCAACTTTGTTTTTGAACCGACCAATATAGCCTGACACTGATGAAGTTACAAAATCAGGCCCATTGTATCTCTGAACATTCATCAACAATCTATTAACTGTCATCTTGTGCTGTTACTCAGTATAATTTCATGTTGGATTAAATTGAAGACATGAGTAAAGCTGTGTTTGTTGATACCAAGAATTTCATTTATACTGTTTCCTGTCCTGATTATATTAAACCTTTAAAGTAAACATTGGCAGAATTAAATTTAATACACCAATCTTTATGGTTATTCAAAAATTGTGTCATTAATATTTTTATATTGATGCTTTTAACCAATAAATTATAATTTCTTTGGAAAAGAATCTCTATTTATTTTGATGTTGATATTGTATTCTTTCCCTTTTATATTTATTTTTGTTAGGTGTTTTTCATGAACTTCACTAGTATTTCATTTTTGCTCTATCTTACAACACAGTTAAAATAAAACAGTTTTGTATCAACATTGCAACGGTTTCAAGATCTATTTATGCTCTCTCTCCAACACACTGCTTTATTATCCCCACTTTCCCTGATGTTCAGACTCATTCAGGTATAAATAGCCTTTGTCAATTTGTGTAAAACTGACAATAGCATGCTAGTAATTGTTTGACATTTTTCCTAATTTCATTTCTGTTACAATTAGAAGAAATGATAATCAGGAGAGATGACAAACAGGCTGCTGGCTCCAGTGTAACCTGCTCCATGATCCTACAAAGGCCAAAACTATCCTACAGTCTCTGCTTGTCCTGATAGTCAAACTAACCTTTACCAGTTTCCACTACCTTCAGATTAATTATTCTGGATTTTTTCATCCTCTGAATGATTAATGTAATCAAGCTGCCACAATGGACTGTACAGTTACAAAGCTGTCCCCCAATGTCCTGTGGATTCCTCCACCTGAGCCATCATCTGCACCACCAGCTCAGTCCCAATGGCTTATGCTTTGGAAATACTATCCGATTAAAAGTAGCGCTCTAGTATCTTCAGGCTTGTCAGATGTGGTGCTGTACAGCCTGATCTATGGGAAACCTTATCTTTGCCCTCATAAATACCAGCAGCGCCTCTTGCTCCCTTGTGCTTTGTTAGTCACCCAGGTACATTTGCCTCTGAGTCAAATTCTGACTCCTGCAGAGTGGACCTCACTGATCTGGCATTAACTGAGAGAGAGTGTGACTTGCATCTTGTATTGACATGACCTGAGGTACTGGGAACTGTATTTTCTTCCTCAGCAACACTCAGAAGAGCAAAAATGAAAGACAGACTACAATGGTGACGTATAAAGTGTCGAAAATCTGGTAGAACTTCTAAACAACTGAAAATTCAGAACACCAGATGCAACTGAAAAATTGAATGAAGACCTCAGACTGAAGCCGCTGGTTCAAAGTGACTAAAGTTACATTCTATTTATATTTGAGTGTAACACTTTTTTTTATTGATGTGGAATGACATGCAGAACAATTTAGTATTTTTGTGAAAACTAAAACGCAAGATAACATGTAGCAAGACATACCTCACAAATAAATTTATAGTATTAAATAAAATCAATTTGTTATTGAAATACTAGAAAGGCTAACCTGGAGGTTTAAAAATGATTGGAATAGAGCACTGTAGGTGCAAATGTTATTTCTGTTTCAAATGCTGCCTGTAAGGTCTTCTGCCTTCATGGCTCAATACAGAAACTACATCAGAGGTCACATGACTGTCACTGGGTACAAATTAGTGTTCAAATACATTATTTCTCCTTTTTAAAAAAGAAAAAAGAATTTCTGAAGCTATAAATTATGTGGTCTGTAAAGAAAATTATCACTCTGGAATGAAACAGTTCATTTCAGTCTGTCCCTGTATGCACATTGCGTACCTAATCTTTAAAGCACTCATCTCTTCTAATGGTGCATGTGTGACTTATTGATGGCTGTTCATCTGCACGTTCCTGTGTTGATGCTCCTTCTCCAAGGAATGTCATTGCTGTGGCTATTGCTGCCGCTGCAGTAACTGTTGTTGCTCATCCACTGCCCTAGTTTGGGAACAGTTGGCCTTTGAGACTTGATGGTTGTTTTGTTCCTTGTGAAGTGGTGAAATCATATCTTTCTCATCAGCTGTTTGCAACGAAGGAAAGGATTCCCTAATCATACGTATGAGTCGGCTGTGGCAATGATGTATCTGATTGGTCATGTTTATGTGTACGATTAAAATGACAACTCCTGTGCATGGGTTGCAAGTTGCAGCAGCTTTGAATGTTTGCATTCTGATTTGGCACGGCTTTAGCAGCTTTATCAAAATGAAACTTGGTTTTCAATTGTTTCACTGATTTTGTCACTCATGCATGTTGCTACTTCTGCCTTCAGTAGTTTTTTTTTTAGCTACCAGAAGAATAGTTTGGGTGCATTAATCATTGGAATAGACTACTTTCCATATCTTCAGTAGGTGTATTTTTCACCCTAGGATTGTATACATCTGTGCTAAATCTACTCAATTGTTTTATGATCTCTGGTGATTTTCACTGCCTTTACATTTACCTTTACATTTGACTGTTGATATTGTGGAGATGACATATGGTGTTGAATTTCCCAATCATTTATAAAACAGCTGAATTCTTCATTAATGAGCTAAAGACTATTGTAGCTATCACAATGTCTGCTTTCAGGCATTCCACAATCTCACTGGTAGCTGTATTGTCAGCTGCTCTCACTTCTAGTAGTTAATAATCAGTGGTTTAAAGATCATCACTTCCTTCTTGAAGCTTCATCCGTGTACAGTCTGGGTGTCATGAATCCTAAGAGATTCTTTAGCTTGCTTTGCTTGACATTTGTTACAAACTTTTAAGTATCTGATGTGGTCATTAGTTTTATTGCTCATGTTTAGCCGGAAAACACTTCCATTGTCTTCCTCAAATTAGACTCAATTTCTTGATGGCTTGTCTGGGTGTGCTCGAGCATCTCCTTTTCTCATCTCTTTGGGAACAATGATTTTGATTCCTTTTTACAAGAAGCAATTTGGCGATCACTTCATTGCTATATACCCAGTACTCTCTTATAGCAACATACTATAATGATTCTGACCATCCTTTCATCCTGATTGGAGATGGATCTTATTGCATAGATTGCTTGATCTGAGCAAACTGCTTGTGTTTCACGCTGAATGTCTTTTCTGGGTTGATAACTTCCAAGAGTGCTATTTCTCATTGAATCTGGAATATTTCACACTCTTGATATCTACAAGTTTTCTCATAGGAAATATAGCTCTCAACAGCATTTAGACATTATCCATCTACTTTGCTTGTTTGCATATCCGAATGATACCTCTGCAAATGAAGTAACGTTCTTTGCAAATGCTTTGGAGCAGACGGAAGCAGTTTGAGAAGTTGTTTTGAGGTGGTTTGTGATCAGGCTGTAGAGTGACATTTCCTCTCTCAAACAGGTATTGATTAAAATGCTCATAAACAAAGACTATAGCCAGGCAGTCTCTCTCAATCTGTGAGTAGCATTGTTTAGTTGCATGGATGCAAATGCAATGGGTTTCTTTTCGCTGTAAGAAGGATGCTCAAAGCTCTGTCTTGCTGTCATCACACTGCATCATTGACATCGGAGTATTGTAGTATGTACTGGCATCGTTATTACAAGTTGCATGTCCTTTCTCATGAACATGTATAAAAGTTCACAAACTGATGACAAATCAGTCAAGAAGTTTAAAAACCAAAAGAATTGCGGATGCTGTAAATCTGGAACCAAAACAAAGTTGCTGGAAAAGTTCAGCAGGTCTGGCAGCATCTGTGAAGGAGAAAACAGAGTTAATGTTTCAGGTCCGTTGACCCTTCCTCAGAACTCAGTTCCATCAAATAGCCTCAACTTTACCATCAATGGCTTCATTTTTGCCTCAACATCTTGAGCCAGTTCTCACATGTCTTTGATGCACTGGTGTCTAGCTGACACGTCACATTCATTTAATACTCTCCTCTGTAATCACCACTCCGACAATTACAAACTATTTATTGCTTTGAGATTGGATGGTGCCAACATGTCATTCGTGATTCATCAGAATCATCATGCAACATCTCTCCAGGGTCTCTCACCTTTAAGGCTTTGCTTCTTTCTAACAAAACAGTTATAAGCACCCTGATACAGCTACTTGCAGATATAGTACTGCTTTCCCCATGCTAGACATGATTCCTCTTCTTTCACATGTTGTGCCTACAGTATTTAATCCTGTACTCTGATCTTGACTTCTGGTTCAGATGAGTTGTATTCCAGACTATTGGAGGAGGTATCAGGAACCCTGAGATAATTTTCAAATTCCCCTGCCGCAAGTGGGATGCTAGAGAACTGGATTTCTGTTAGCATTGTCATTATTTTTACAAAAGGGAGAATGGGATATATCAGGAAAATACAAGCCAGTCAGTCTAACTTCGATGGCGAGGAAATTATTAGAAATAATTCTTAGGGACAGAATATATCTACACTTGGAAAGACAGTGATTAACCAGCAATAGTCAGCATCGGTTTTGTAAAAGGAAGGTCATGCTTGACACATTTGATCTAATTTCTTTTGAGGGGGAACTCGAAGTATTGATGAGCATTTGGTCTTGTTTAGATGGACTTTTGATAAGGTCCTTCATGGCAATCTGATCAAGAAAGTGAGAGCCCATGGGAAAACTCAAGGCAACGTGGCACATTGGATCCAAAATTGTCTGAGAGGCAGGAGGCAGAGGGTGATGGTAGAGGGATGTTTCTGTGAGCTGAAGTCTGCTTGCAGTTGGGTTTCTCAGAGCATAGTGCTCGGGTCCCTTGCTGTTTGTTGTATACATTATTGATTTGGACTTAAGCGTAGGGGAGATGATCAAATAGTTCGCCGATGACACAAAACTTGGTAAGATGGTAACTAGTGAGGAGGATAGCCATAAACTGCAGGTTTGGTCAGCTGGGCAAAGTGATAACAAATTGAATTCAATTTGGAAAAATATGAAGTAAAGAGAGGACTAACAAGGCAAGGGATTACAGTATGAATGGTAGTACCCTAGGAAGTGCAAGATCAAAGAGACCTTTGTGTGAAATCCACAGATCCCTGAAGGTAGCAGGTCAGGTAGATATGGTTTAGAAAGCACGCCTTTATTAGCCAAGGCACAGAATACAAGAGCAAGAAGGTTATTGTGGCACTGTAGAAAACACTGGTTAGGCCACAACTGGAGTACTGTGCGCAGTTCTGGTCACCACATAATGGAGGGAAATGATTGCACTAGGTGCAGGGGAGATTTATGAGGATGCTGCCTGGGCTGGATAAGTCTGAGTTATGAGGAAACATTTGATAGGCTGGGGTTGCTTTCTTTG